TAAAATTGTTCCTAGATGCTTAAATGTTTTGTTTTTATGATGAATAATATATGTTTGAGGGCCGGCCCGGTGGCGCACTGCGCTAGTGTGCCGCTTGGGAAGCGCGGCGGCGCTCCCGCTGAGGGGTCGGATCCCACATACAGACCGGTTCCCGCTCACTGGCTGAGCGAGAAGCGGGGGCGACACTGGGGGTTGCGATCCGTTGCCGGACACGGAAAAAGACAAAAAAAAAAAAAAAAAAAAGGAAAAAAAAATTGTTTGAATTATATTTTCTAATTAGTTGTGGTGTGTATGGAGGAAAGAATTTTATTTTCACATTTTGTATATATCAATATCTACATATTTAACCATATGGAAAATTTACAAATTGATTGACATAGACTATATTGGCGGACATCCTATAATAGCTCAAAAATGTGACACAATTAGTGTTTGATAATCACAAAATAAGTTTTGGAATGTATTAAATAATTATATAAGGTATCACTTATACACTAAATAGTATGGAAAAAACTTTTCAGTTTTATTAATTTTGGGTAATATTTATTTAAAGTTGGAATTAATCTAAAAACATATATGATTTTTAAGGTCACTTAAAAATAAATAGCCTATAATATGGTTAATAAGAATGATGTATAGATAACTCTTCCTTATTTCATAAAATAAGGAAGTTTTCCAGACATGCCTGAAAATGAAAAGCAATTTTTAATCACATATATTTGTCTGAGCTATGCTCTTTATTTGGATGTCTTTCACCTCATTTACACATTTCACTCACATTTTTAGTGTGGAATGAAGGATGCAATATTTCACAGACAATTTTGATAATAAAATCTTTTATAGTTTATTTCATTATTCAAATTTTTAGGATTTAGTTGACTTACCAGAATCAGTTCTTCACTGCATTAACATAATAAAGAACAAGAGTAAAACTGTTGAAGAGCTCATTCTTCAGGACTTGGAAGATACTGATGTTTTAAGTAAGTACAGTACTTATGTGCTTGGCAGATAAATTTTCTATAAGCATGAAGAAATTATAATTTAGAAAACAAAATCGCTTGAAGTTATTGTCTCTTACTGTGTGTATGTGTGTGCATTTGTCTCTAATAGAATAACTATAGTATGTTCGACTGTTGAATTAGTTTGTTCATTTTTTTCCCCTTACCACCTTCCATATGTCTGCAATAAATACTAACCACCAACAGTTTGTTTCTCCAGTCCTAATTAATACTGGACATTCTATTACTTTACATTAAAGAAGGAAAACTAATCATGGGACTATTTTAGAAGTTTCAATTTATACGTTTTTGTTGAAAAGATATAATCATTTGTATCAAAAGCCTTACAATATTTATTTGCTTAAATTGAGTAAATTCACTTCATGGAATTATTCTAACAATAATGGAACGATCAAAGATTTTGCTAGAATTAATCATTGCTTGGTTTATAATGAAGAATGGCACGAACCTAAATGTTCAACAGGACCTTGGTTTGTCCAGAGATATACCTATTAAAAAAGATGACTTAGACAAATATTTAATGACATTAAAAAATGTTCATTACATATTATTTAAAAGCTATTTTAAAATTCAATGTCATTTATGCAAATATTAGTATAAATTATAATGTGGCTATTCATAGATATTCATTCAACAAATATTACTTTGTGACAGAATCTGTTCTAGCTGCAGAATACAGCAGTGAACAAAACAGGAGAAAGTTTTGCTCTCTTGTTCTAAATAGATAGATAATAAACTAATAAATAAATATGTAATATTTCAATAGTGATAACTTTTATGAAGGAAAATACTAAAGGTAAGGTAATAGAAACAGTAGGTTGCTATTTTAAGTAGGGTAGTCAGGGAAGGTCTCTGTGAGAAGGTGATATTTGATGAATAGCCTCCATGAATAAAAAATGAGCCACCTGGATATTTAGAGTGCCAGTGTTCCAGAAAGAGGGAACCATAAAGATCAAGGCACATCAAGTGTATTTAATATGTTTGAAAAACAGCAAGTAAGCCTTTGTGGCTGTATCTGAGAATTATATGGGATCAGATTATATGGGGCTCTTATATCCATCATGTGGACTTTAGATTCTTTTCTCAGTATATAAAAGATTTTGAGTAAGTAGTGACAGTATCTGACTTATATTTTGAGATAATCATTCTGTTGACTGCATAGAGAAGATGCCTTGCAATAGCCAGACCACTCCAACACTATTGCAATGGTATGGTTAGAGAGGAGACTGAGTTGAGTGGGTTGAATAGAAATGAAGAAAAATGATCATATTCTGTAAACCATTTTTAAGGTAGAAAGAAAAAAAAATGTATTGATGGATTTGTGCAAAAGGTAGAGAGGAAGATGGTTCCAAGATTTTTATTCTGAGCACCAGTGTGAATGGATGTGTAAAGATTTACTGTATATGCTTCAGATTTTGACAATTAATTATCTATATATTGAATTATAAAAGATGTCAGTGATTTGGTTGTTTACTTATTTTTACAAAGGCTTATACAATGAAAATATATTATAAGTATATTGGCAATTATATAACCTAATTACAGCCTAATTATGATAAAAATCAAAGGATATACAATTGTAGAAAATTAGTTACATGAAAGGAGGTATAGCTACAGTTACAACAGTGGTTCAGAAAATTAGGAGAAGATCTCATATACAGCTCTAATCAAATATGTTTGATAATCTTAATGAATAAAATAATTTTCTAAGAAAATGCAAATTATCAAAATTGTTTGAAAAAGTGTGAAATGATTAAATCAATATTATGGCAAGATGGAAAGGGATTTATTCCCTAATTTCATTAAACTAGAAAAGATTTTGCAACTGGATTTTTACAACCCATTAAGGAGCAAAATATTCACATATTATGTAATTCATTTATAAAAAGATATATATTTCAAATAAAAACTGCACAGTCATAGTACACACACAAAAGAAATTAGAGGCTAACATTTTTCTGTTTTGATTTACTGATCAAAGATACACTCCGATAGAATTTGAGATTAAAGGATGATGAAAGATTTTGACAAACTGTATCCATTCAAATATTTGAAGTTATATTTTTTTCTTTCTCTAGACTGTAGTTGTGGAACAGCTTCTAATATTCATATCCATTTAAGGAGAGGATTATCAACTGAACATAATGAAAATCCAGAGCAGTTAATGAAGGTATATGTTCAACATTTGACTGAAAGTATTCAGTATTACAGTTAGAAATTTATCTTTACCCTTTTCATAGGATAATAGTTCATTGATTGTAAGTTTACTGATGCAAAACTTAAAAATTTAGTTATTTTTAAGCAAGTCATTTTTGGTTTTATGATTTCCTCTGGCACTCAAATTTCAATTTTTATTTGCATGGGGGCTGAAAAAAATTTCAGTATTTAAGAATATTAAAAGTGGTGATTTCAGTCATTAATACTTGGGAATTTAATGTACATGTAGATAAAACTGTAGAATTATATTGCATGACTTTTTTTTCCCCTCAAAACTCTGAGGAAAACATTGAATATTCTCTAGTGTTTATTACCTTTCTTAGGAATGTGTTGTATTCCAGCAGAGACATTAAGTATTCTACAGAAACTTTAAAGTGGAAGATCTTGTATTAGTTTAAAATAAAACATCCTTAAAAAAGTAAGAGTGAAGGAGACCTCAGTGTGTAATTAGGTTAAAATCCCATAAATGTATTTAAAATCTTTTCTACAGAGTCACTTCTTGGATTCGCTTTTACCTCATTTTCTTTTTAACTAACTCTACTCTTGTTCCCTATAATGTTTAACAAATTTGATAATTACTTATATGTATCTTACTCCTTTTTTGGTAGCACTCAAATTTGAAATACTAATTTTAAATAGTCATACTACTACTTCGTTAGAATAAATAGCCGATATCTTTCCAGCTAGAGTATAGTGAAAATATAAGTATGGGAAAGTAGTAATCAAGATCATAACTTCGATGCATAATTCAGGTTAAAGTAGAAAATTTTTATCATATTGAATATATTAATTTGCATTTGTGAATAAGAAGAAAATAAACATTAATAGAAACATTTTGAAATGATTACTAGGCAGTTTAATTGAACATTGTGGATTAATTTTAAAGACTGATTAGAGATCTGAATAAAAGGAGGGTAAAATATAATCTGCTTGCATGGGAAAAACTTTTTCATTCATCATAAAGAGGATAATTACCAATGTGCTATAGTTTTGTATTTGGAAAATATTTGGAGTAAATAAAATTCTTGGTATATGTATATATATATAAATATGAGTATTTAATACTTTATTAAAATGATAGCTTTACTCTCTATTTTGCTTTTCTTTAATCATTGCTATTCTTTTAATCTCTTAGATATTATATGAAATAGAAAAAGAAGAACTTATGAGAAGTACAACACATTGTACCAGTCCTGATAGGGTTCCTGAGGCTAGTCCTCATGATTTGCCTGTGGATGAACATGTTTTACCAGGTGGACTAGACTGCTCAATGATATTTATGAAAACTTTTATGTGATTGGCCATTCTTCAGAAAAAAGTTTATACAGTTTTCTTATTTTTTTGACGTTTAGAAAAATACAATTACAAAGTTTGAAAATCATTATGTCTTTACTATACTTACTTAATTACATGTTCTCATACTTTTCTTTATGCTTTCTAAATTAACTTGATTTAAATGTATTTAAATTTTTTCTGTATGTACAGCTGACTGCAATAGATATAACTAGTCTTAAATTTATTAAGTATCTCTTAACTATATTCTTTATCCCTTAACTATATATACACACACACACACAATATTTTTATATTAAGCTTTGTGGAATATTTTAAGACAAATTATGGACATCTTTATTGACTGCAATGGAATTTCCATGTATATTCAATAATGTATTTTCTTTTTGCATATTATCACTTTTACTTTAGTAACATGTTGATGTTATTTCTTCACTTTGAAATTACTTTTAAAAATTAAATTGGATCTTTCTTGGCAGGTTTGATCTTGAGAATAATAATGTTATTTATTTTTATGAATGTAGATGATGCTGATATAAATTTTGGATACTGTGAAGTGGAAGAAAGATGTAGACAGTCTTTTGAAGCCTGGCAAGATGAACAGAAAAAACTAGAAGACAAAGAGAATGAAACTCTCAAAGCTCAAAGGGATAGAGAAGAAAAGCAATTTCAAGAAGAAGAAGAAAAGAGAAATTGCTGGATGAAACAATTTGAAATTGAAAAGAAGAAATTAGAGACTATTCAGAAGGTACTTTTTTGTTTGTCTTTCATACATTTTTTGAATCACTAGCTATCTCTGAAGAGTACTGATGTTTGGATTGAGCCTCATTATATAGCTTTTAATTACTCCTAATAGTGGAAGCAATTGGCTGTGAATTAACAGTGTTTAATAGAGACTCCTTGATTAGTTTTCATTGAAATTTGCTGGAATTGCAGATACTGGTTTGGATCTTGGGTTCCCCTAGAATCCATGAAGTTTCAGGGATTATCCTAGACAGTCAGAAATTTACAACATAAACTGTCGCTTTGTTTTTTTGTTTTTTTGTTTGTTTGTTTTTTAATGGCTGGACTTTGGTGTTATCAGCTCCAGGCCTTAATGAACTGAACTAACCAGCTAGTCCTCTTTATTAATACCCTTCTAATCATAGGAAGATGCAATAGAATTTTCCCGATTATGCAATGTCCTTGCTAAGTGGCTGGCATATGACACATTATACATAGCATATTTGGTTGAAGTAGTTCAACCCGCTCCCATAAATGAGCTAATTCCTTGGACTAGACATTTTTTCTGTGGGAAGGAGTTTTGTGTTTGTTTTTAGTTCTGATGTGTATGTATTTTTTTTTTGTTTGTTTGTTTCTTTTCCCAGGAGATCTATACAGTCAAGTCATAGTAGTGGTATATTGAGAAACTGGTAGATTTTAGGATCCTACTAGTGGGTCATCAGGATCTTAGAATGTCTGGGTAACAGGCAGGACTGACTTCTCTGTCTTTCATTCCTAAAATTGATTATTTATATGTTACCCAGAACTTGCTGGTTCTGAATATTTCATATAAAGAACATTAACATGTGGTCATTTAGGTAGTTCAGGGTTTTCTAGCCCTCCATGTTGAGTACATTTCATTTCTTGATTACATAAAAAATAATCAAATTAAAAGCAATTACGATATTGTAGAACCAGTTTTGTCATCCCTTTTTCTAATAGTAAACCATTAGTCTTTAACCTTTCTTTTAGTTATCTTTTCTTTCCCACAGACCAGAATAACATAGTCATTTTCAAAATCGGAAGCTTTTAAAAACAATTTCAGAATAGGATTGAATATAATGTAGATTTTTGGAGTAGTGTTTGCTAGCTTGTTCTGAAATGTATCATTACTGTTGAATGTTAGTGGTATTTTCAGATTTAGAAAACATCGGATTTTTAAATTCTGTTCAACTAAGTTGTTATTTTTATTTGTTTCATAACCAAAATTTACTGATTACATTAAGGGCAAAGCATTCAGCTGTGTGCTTAGATGATACAAGAGAAATCTAACACCTGGGCCCCATGCTTAAAAAATTCTAACTTATTTTTTAAACTAATTTGTAATTTATCATAAAATTATGATTAAAATTATGACAGTAAGTTTAATGAATTCCTAAATATGTGCTTTATCGTGCCTTGTCACTTTAAAGTTTTCAATGGGACTACCACACAATTGTATGACAGATTCTAAATTTATTCCCTTTCAGTAGTTTTTTCTGTGTCCTTTCTTAGGTTCCTCTTTTATTTCCCAGAACAGCTATCATAAATCTTTTGAGTTCCACCCAACTCCTCCCTTCTCATTATTAGCAAATGATCACATAACATTTTTGCATCAATTAGAAATCTTCTATTCTTTCTAATTCCATATCTAGTGAATATGTTTCAATTAGAAACTTTCTCTTCTTTCTATTTCCCTATCTAGTTAGCATTAACATCTGTACTCATCATTATTTTTGCCTTTTTCCTCCTATCTCAGTTAGAAAGTTTTCTTCCTTCTGCCAAAGGTTAGCTTTTCTTCCTCTGCTTTATATTCTATCAGTTTTCAATTTAGTCCTGCTTTTTTCTGTATGCTAAAACACGCTATCGACTTCATCCTTTCTTATTGTTTATAAGTATGTTCAATTTTCTGCCATTGTAGAAAAAAAAAAAAGAAAAATCATGAGGTCATCTTTGTTCTTATGCTCTTTAGCTCTACTTGTGATAGACAGACTTCTAAAGAATACTTATTTTTATTATATCCATTTTCTCATCTCTCGTCCAATCCTAAGTCTGCTAGGTATCTTCCACCATTACCCGACTGAATGATACTGTTCTTGACAAAGATAACCAATGACCTCTACATAACCACACTTACAGGTTCTTCCTCATTTCTTATTTTGATCTCTGTAAAATTTTATGCCAGCCAAAATGTGATTGTTGACCATTTCCCTTTTCCTTGACTTTTGTGGGATCACAGTCTTTATATCTTCTTACATGTTTGGCAATTCCTCCTTTTCATTTTAGACTTCTTTTTCTCTCTGTGTCCTTTCATGTGGTACTACCATGGATTCCACCCTTTGTCTCTTTCTTCTCTTGCTCCATATGCTCTCTCTCTTGAAAATCTCACCCACAGACATGGCAGTTCAGAACCAAATCTATATTTGTAACAAAATAAAGTGGAGTAGGTAACTTTTTTACATATAATTCACACTCAGAACTTTATGGACCTAAAACAAAATGCATTGTCTGTCTTTCTTTCTGAATCATGCTCCTTCTGTGGTATTATTAATTTTTATAAGCTAAGCTAGAAGAATGAAGAGCACTTTTTACTCTTCTCTTTACTTTCTCTATTCCCTGTAATAGTTGTATGATCCATCTTCTCATCCACATATCTTACTGCTACTCTGCAGTTCAAGCTGTCCCAGTGTCTAGCTTGGAATATTTACTATACTCTCTGATTGATCTCCCTACCTCTTATCTACTGTAGTGCTGTCAGAGGGACATTTATTTGAAAAATATTTTTCTGATTAGATCTCATCGAAAGGTACCACAGCTCATATAAGATAATGTCCAAAGAATTTTTCCCACTTTCTTTATATCTAGTCAATTGGCAATTTGGGGCAGTTCTACATTTTTACTGTCATTCCATCTGTTCTCACTCCTGCCAACCTATCTACAGAATGCCCTCATTAATACTCACATTGACATCTCATATACTTTCCTCTCTCATTTCCTTATTGTTTCCTTGGCTCTCTTTCCCTAATTCTAATATAAACTTATGATTTTTCTAATAACAGAGCTGTAATCATTTTCCTAGTTCAAAATACTTAATAAATGCCAGAAATGCCTGTTTCACCTTTTGAAAACCTAGTCATTTAAAATACACCTTCTGCATGAAACTTTTCATGATCCTCTAATTATAATACCAATTTCTTCTGTGATCCTTTATTGTTCTTCTCTTACGATAATATGTAAATGATAATAATATTTCCATATTATAGTTAGAGTTTTTGAGGAAGGGGATTGTGTTTTACGAATCTTTGTTTATTCTGCAGAGCCTTAACAAAACACATGCTAATAAGTAATGACTGAAAGTAAACCATTATTTACTGAACTGATTTATTATGTGAATTAAATGATGTGATGTGGAGAGAAAAAAATTGTAATATAAAACCCATCGTATAAGCATTACTATTTGCAATATTTGCAGTGCCCACCAGTATTTCTAGCCAACACATTTTATTGTGTGAATAACATATTCAAATAAATAAAACAACATTCCCAGCTTGCAAACATCTTTTTGTCCTCAGAATGGGAATCCTAGGTATCATTTATATGACATTTTAGTTTGAGATTAAAGTTACTATTTCAGTACTAATAACTGAGGACCATTAGTGGGGCTGTCACTTTTAATTATTGTTTATGAGTATATGGTGTGAAAATCATATAAAATGAGCATAATATTATTTGATATTTGAATATAATAATGTTTAATTATTGTATGTTCAGAAAGAACAAGAAAAGATGAATGTTGAACTTTTGAAAGAAGAGAAAATGTGGAAAGAGAAATTTAAACAGCATGAGGTATCTATTTATTGTTTTCATCATTGTATTAATATTTATTCATTTGATGTAAATCACTATGCTTGAAATGGACCTTTTAAGATAATATCACCTAACTGGTATAGAATTTTATTTATTACAGCATTAAAAATTCATTAATCATCAGAAACTCTCCTTGAAATAGAATGTCCTGAAAATGAAAATTAACTGATTTGGTGAATGTGTCTATATAAAATTATAATTCTAAAATTTCTTTTTAAGATTTGAGGAAAGATACTTTTATGAACATTTCATTTTATTGTGTTTGAAGATTGTTATGAAAGGTTACTATATTTATTGAACACAACTTAGTGTGTTAAATAACCTTTGAATTTAAGATGATTCTGATGATTGGTTTATTGATTAACTTTTAGTTTTCATATAAAATTATTTTAAGTAATTACAAATATAAAGTAGATAAATCACTTATAATCCTGTTATCCAGCTAAACATTATTACCTTTCTTTGTGTTTCTTTCAAATCTATTTTTTATTTATATTAATAGACTCCTGAAAAAGTAAGTTTCCATTGTAAATATTTAAACTAAAAAGTCGGTTCAGCATGTGAAAAGACAGGTTCATATGAGTGATAAAATAAATTTAAAAAACAATATTAGCTAACCTGCACATAATCCAAATGTTGTATTTAGTAAAGCCATTAGAATACCTATAATTATCATCCAGTAATAAAATTCTTAAACAGATAGGTGCTGTGAAAAGAAAATTAGAATCTCTAATGAAGTTTCAAGTATACATTCTAGAGTTAAAAATTTAGTATATAAAATAAAAATTTAGTGGATCAGCTTGACAGTAGATTGGACATAGTGATGAGAATATTAGTGAAATAGAAAATAGGTCAGTAGAAAATATCCAAATTAAAGCAGAGAGAGAGGAAAAAATGGGAAAAGCAGAAAAGAGCATAAGAAATATGTGATCCACAGGGAAATGATATAAAATTTGTATCATATTAATCTTGAAAGGATAGGGGAGAGAGAATGGAGCAAAAGCAATGGGTAAAAAGATAATGATTGAAAAAGTTTCAAATTATTTTTTAAAAAATCAACCTGAACATTCAAAAATGATTATTTTTGTTTGGGTTGCTATAACAGAGTAACTGAGACTAGGTAATTTATAAAGAAAAGAGGTTTATTTGGTTCACAATTCTGGAACAGATGCATCTGGTAATGGTCTCAGGCTGCTTCAACTCATAGGGGAAAATGGAAAGGGAGCCAATGTATGCAAGAGATCCCATGGTGACAGAGGAATTAAGAAAGACAAACTGAGAAAGTGAGACTCTTTTTAACAAGTCACTCTCCCAGAACTAATTGAGAACTCACTCCCAAAGGAGGGCATTAGTCTATTTATAAGACATCCACCTGCATGACCCAAACACCTCCCACTGGTTGCCATCTCCCAACACTGCCACCTCGGAGATCAAATTTCAACATAAGTTTTGGAGGGGCAAACATTCAAACTATAGCAATGATTAATGATTCCCAAGTAGGAGAGATAACAAAGAAAATGGCATCTGAAAATTTAATAGTACAACTATTGAAATTCAAGATAAAGGAAAATAGAAAGTCTTAGAAGCATCCAGAGGAAAAATTTACATTTCCTAAAAAGAAGCAACAGTAAAACTAACAGCTGACTTCCAAAGTGAAATGATGGAAAGAAGGCAGTGGAACAAAACATTTAAGGGCTGAATGTCAATGATTTCTTTGCTCATTAGCATTCTTTGAATCCCAGGTATTCCCCTGATTTTTGGACTCTTTATTTCCTAGAGTATATATTTAAATGTTAGTCAAAAAACATTTTGGATGGTAAATTTTCTCAGTCTTTGCATGGTTGAAAATGTTTTTATTTTGCTTTTAAAACTGAATTAGTTTCTTTGAGTTTCAAATCCAGATTTATTACTACTTACTTTCAACAATTTAAGTACATGACTTAGTTACATATTTATTTATTTTTGCCTATGCAATCTGTGATTGCAGATTTTATGCTTATTTCTTACATTGTTTTGAAGCTTTAGGATTTTTCACTTTATATTTATCCACACATATTTACTGATTTTCTCTTATGTATCAGGCACTTCTCTAACTTCTTAAGATACAGTAAGTGAATAAAGCAGAAAATAATTTATGCTTTCACGGAGCTTGTATTCCTTAGGGTTCTGAAATATTGCTAGCATCTATTTAAGTGTGATGTGAGTGTGTGTGTGTATAAAGTTAACTCAGCTCTTTATCCTATTATTATTATTATTATTATTTTAGTTTGGAAAACGTATTTTTCTATTATTTTCTTCCCTTCAGCTGTGTGTGTGTGTATAAAGTTAACTCAGCTCGTTATCCTATTATTATTATTATTATTTTAGTTTGGAAAACGTATTTTTCTATTATTTTCTTCCCTTCAGTTTTTCTCGGTTCTTTATTCTGGAACTCCTACTAGTCATATGTTGGAATTTTTGTGTTGATCTTCTTTTCACCTGTCTGACTCTGACATAGATTACATCTTTGTTATTTTGTATGTTGTTTTAGGAAAACATAATTTTGAAATTTTTCTTTTGGCAATCAGCTGTTCAGCCATTCTGTGTTGGTTTTTTTTTTTTTTTTTTTTTTTTGTTTGAGTGAGTAATATTGTTTTATTCGAACACTTGCATTTCTTGTTTATATGAGGTTATTCTTGTTTAAACAGTTTTTTCTTGAAAAACTATCTTCAAAATTTTATCTAGTTTAAGAGTTCTCTCTTTTCAGCAATTGGTTTTTCTGCTTATTGATTATATTGCTTCACATTCTTTGCCTTAGTTTTCCTTAAATATTTGCTCAATTTTGTTGATTTATTTTCTTTTGTTTTTAACTCTTGTGACAATCACATTTTCTCACCTAACTCTGAGTTATCTCATTTAGTGCAGTATGTGTTTATCAACTCTCTTGATAATTGAAAAGGAATAAGATGGGTAAGTAGGCTGGTTCTTCACATTGCTCTTATGTATGAAGTATCTGGTTTTGGTATCATAAGTCTCACAAAATGATTTCCTGCTTCTGCAGTCCCAGTGCTAGCTCTGAATCTCCTATATCAGAACCACTCATCTCAGAAAGTTTGACATCCTTTTCTCCTACATAAATTTTGGCCTGTTGTTTCCCTTGCTTTTTTGTACATGTTGTTCTAATATCATATGTTTTCTATCTTCAAGAAATTCCTCAATTTATATCTGGATGACTTTGTATACCCATAATATTGGAATTGGAATATCAATTTACCTATGTAATCCTATCTCCTAAATATATATATATATATATAAACCTTTTGAAATAAATGAATTAGTTTCTCTAAGTGAATTTTATAGTAACTTCATTATGATTTCAGTTTTACTATTTGGTTTCAATATCTATTTTAGATGATATTTTAATAACATCACACATTCAGCTTATGTTGACTACTACTTATCTTTATTTTAGGAACTTATTAGAAACTTGCATTTACAAATGGAAGAGGAAAGAACAAGATTTAATGACTTACAGGAAAAAGAGAAAATGCATTTGTTAAAACTGCAGCATAATGCAGCTGTAAAAATTCAAGCTAAATATAAAGCATTTGTGGCCTACCAAAAATATGGACCAATCATAAAAGAACAAGTAGAAAGTAAGAAAAGGAAGGCTCAAGAGTGGAAAGAAAAGGAAACAAAAATACGACAAATGGAGGAAGAAAGACAAAAAAGATTAGAGGAAGAACAAAGGATAGAAGGAGAAATAAAAAAGCAGATGGAAGAAGAAAGGAAAAGGAGAGAAAAAGAATATGAGGAAAAAAAGAGTATTCTGAGACAAGAAAGAGAGCAACTACTAACCAAAGAAAAATTAAGGGCAAGAGAAAATGCAAGCCAACAGTTAATAAGTAGTAGTTTATTAAAGAAGGTAGGATATAATGCCAAACATTTAACTGTTGATAATATATCAAAGAATAAGGGTGATATAGCCAAAAGACTAGTGGATAAAAATTTCAAGAAGCAGGAAGATGTTCCCCTTTGGCTAGCTGAGAAATCAAATAAGAGAGAAGGTATAGGCAGACAGCTTGTATTAAAAGAATCAGTACAAGTGCAATCAAGAGAATGTATATCAAACCAAGCAGTTCTGGCAGAATTAAAAATGAGAGAAGAAAATAAAAACTTAGCAATAAAACAATGTTCAGAAACATTGATTATGCCAGAAAGAAAATGTGAAAATATAGACCAAAACTCTGAATTGGAAAACCCGGATCTGAAAGAAAATGTAGAAGAACAGTTTCAACTGCGAGAATTAAAGTCTAAGATACAAAAAGAGGAAACAATAGAACATGCCATAAATGACAATGTGGGACAAAAATTTCAAAAAATAATATTAGGACATAATCAAGAAATCAATGAAATGAAAAACAATGAAGTAGAGGAAACAATCAAAGACAATCAACAGAAAAAGCTGCAAGAAGTAGAAAAAGAAGAGATACCAGAACAGGACAAATCATTATATGAAGAGAATAATAATTCAATTATTTCAATGAAACAAATTCTGCTACCACTAAAATTAGAAAATTCTGAAGATGTAGGAGGAAATGTAATACTGGAAAATGAAATTGGTTTAAAATTCAAAGAAATCAAGGAGAACCAAAAAGACAGTGCTCTCAATAGTGACATTGTCATTTTTGACACCACTAATGTCATGATAAACATAGAAGGCAAAAAAAATAATCAAGATTATGTTTTAGGCAGACATGCTCCTTGTGAAGATGTGGGAGTTTATAATGCAAAAAGCTCCTTGGTTTCTAAAGAAGTAAACTCTCTGAAGTCTGAGATTAAAGAAATTCCAGAAGAATGCCATGAAAACAGAGCTGAAGGTGGAAATATCACAGCTTCCTCTGTACCAGATTCAACACGGGAGTTTATAATGCAAAAAGCTCCTTGGTTTCTAAAGAAGTAAACTCTCTGAAGTCTGAGATTAAAGAAATTCCAGAAGGATGCCATGAAAACAGAGCTGAAGGTGGAAATATCACAGCTTCCTCTGTACCAGATTCAACACTTTTGTCTAATATTGAAGAAAAGAGACTAGCTTGGATAAAATCATGTAAACCTTGGTTTGAAATTTTCAAGCAAAATCAACAAAAGAAAATTGTTCAAAGAAAGAGACCCGTGAAATGCTCAGCTAACGTGATGCCCCCTTTGAATACACTAGAAATTCTTCAGTGTGGCCCTTGGAACACTTTACAGCAGGTATTTCTAATTTTATAATACTTTTTCATATTTATTATTTTTTTCTTTAAAAGATGACCGGTAAGGGGATCTTAACCCTTGACTTGGTGTTGTCAGCACCACGCTCACCCAGTGAGCCAACCGGCCATCCCTATATGGGATCCGAACCCGCGGCCTTGGTGTTATCAGCACCGCACTCTCCCGAGTGAGCCACGGGCCGGCCCCGACTTTTTCATATTTAATAACAACTATTTCTCTAAAATGTAACTTTTCAAATCCTAGTAAAAGGAATATTTTATATATGTGAATTTTGTCACTTAATCGGTGAAGTTTCTAATGAAATATTGCCCCATTTGAGAGGTGATGAATTTAAAAGATCTCAACTAAAATTAGTCAGGGCATCTTCTCCCTAAGCAAAGCACTATAAAAAGCTTTGATTTATATTTTTTAATATATTCAAGGACTCTATAGACATTATTAAGCCTCTAAGAGTGAAAGCATCTGGGAATTTAGAGTTCAAATTAGATTAGGGAACTCCTAATTAGTTAGGAGTTTGCTTTATACTTGGGCCACCACAATACCTAATGTTCTGTTTCAGAATGCAGCGGATTTCCTGTACCTGACCCACTGCATGTAAAGAAGGACTTAAATTCTAGAATGCTCTAGAATTTCTATATAGAAACAATTATTTAGTCATGTGCTGTATAAATGTGTTGCATTTTGTTTTAAATAAAAATTGCCACAAAAAAATGGTACTGTGCTAAGGACTTTTTATATATCGTTTTATACCATCACATGAATGATGATATTTTAGCAGCTAATACATTTTGAGATCAAGATGTCTTACTTCTCTTATACAAGGTAATTGTAATAAACTTGTTGAGATGGTATATGCTGTTGAGATGGTACATAACACTTGAAGTTATTTTATAGCTGCTTTATTTAAGCCACTAATCATACCTTAAATTAAGTTTCTTTCAAAAGAAAGAAACTTACAAATATATGTCCTGATTTTTAGGACAATAGTATTTCCCCTTGTTGAGTATATTAAGATTGGGACACTGAACAAATGTTCTGCAGAAAGTAAATAGGGCTGGCCAGTTAGCTGAGTTAGTTAGAATGTGGTGCTGATAACACCAAGGTCCAGGGATGGAAATCCCTTTACCGGCCAGCCACCACCAACAACAAAAAAATAAGCAACATAGTTGTTGCTTTCATTACTTTTGTATGAGTTAGTTAGAATGTGGTGCTGATAACACCAAGGTCCAGGGATGGAAATCCCTTTACTGGCCAGCCACCACCAACAACAAAAAAATAAGCAACATAGTTGTTGCTTTCATTACTTTTGTAATTACAGTTTGCCATGGATGACTGCCACTCCCTAGGATGAACTCAAGAATAATAGAGAAGGGTCTGGCCGGTTAGCTCACTTGGGAGAGTTGGGAGAACATGGTGCCGATAACACCAAGGTCAAGGGTTCAGACCTTCCTACCTGCCAGCCACCAAAAAAAAAAAGGTGAAAAAATAATTGAGAGTGAAATTGCTAAGAAATATATATTTGTTTTAGGTCATTTTATATACAATGAGCTGTCAAGGATTTGGGAAAATATAGATGATTAAATGGAAAATTGATTTGTGGTCTTTTGTTAAAATATAATGAATGATTCATTGGTTTTATAGGTGTAACAGTTTATTTCCAAGCTATGAGAGCCAGAAAATATAAATTTTTCAAATATTTTTGTATTATCCTTTATAAGGAAAAGAAACTATGAATACTATAAATATATTTGAGTTTTGCCACAGGCTAGGACAGTTCATTCACTGATTTATTTAAAAAGCATTTAGACACCGTCCATTACACTTCAATTGCTGTTTTTCAAGCTGACCATATAGTGATGAACATGCATAATTACTAAATATATTCACCTTAATTTTCGGAGTACAAAGCACTTTTATAAGTTTGGCTATTGTCATGCATGTGTCAATAAATAATTAATGCAAAAATGTATTTTGATCTTATATGCTGGGAAAAATTTACAGTGGGGTAGAAAGTATGTTCCTATGTCATAAGGATTTTTTTTATTTTAATGTTCAATAAAGAAAAGGAAGGAGTACTATGAAACTCCTCATATTCAGAAGTAGATCCCACTGACCAGGGTGCTACAGCAGTTGTTGATCCTTATCATAATAAAGTTAAACTAGAGAACTTGTCACATCAAAAATAGCTAGAACTTTGGGCCGGCCCAGTGGCGTACTGGAGAGTGCGCCGCTTGTGAGCGCGGCGGCGCTCCCAGGGAGGGTTCGGATCCCATGTGGAGACTGGTTCCCGCTTGCTGGCTGAGCACGGTGCGGGTGCAACACCGAGGGTTGCGATCCCGTTGCTGGTCCCCTGTACAGGCGCGACACCGAGGGTTGCGATCCCGTTACCGGTCAGTAAAAAAAAAGGACAGAAAGGAAAAAAAAAAAAATGGCTAGAACTTAATTGTTCTTATATACTTGATTAAAGGCAGAATGTTATTAAATCAGGCAGAATAATATAAATTATAATGTTGAGTAGCATTTCTTACTATATAGCTATGATTGTAAGATTTTCAGTTTTTAAGTGCTTGATTTTGAATAGTGTTCTCATTTTTTAATATAGAGCCAGTTTTCCAGTTACAGAATTTATGTATGTTTGTGTACAAATTAAATGTGTAATACATAGAAGTTATCTCAACACAAATGCATAAATATATTTTCTTTCTCAAAATTGCTTTCGTTTATAATTGAGAAGTTCCTATAATAATTATGAAAATAGAAACTCTAATTTTCTGGAAGTTTTAAAACTGACAATTATTTAAAAAATATATATCAATTATTGCATTTGCTGGTTAAGGCAAAGAGTAGACTAAATCCCTTTTTTGTATCGCCATGAACATATGGTTCTCCCATTCACTTACATAAATATGTAAATTTAAAACTTTTAGTTTAATTTAATGCACAAGAAATGTTCCATATTGTAGAGGAGTGCTGCACTTTAGAATTTCATACTTTTCCCAATGTTTTTTGAAACAATAATGCTTTCAATTTTACTAGAATATTTTTATAATTTTTGTTTTGAGTGTTATACACTAGACACTTTCTGTAAAGCCAATGATTTTAAATAAGTATTAAGTACATGAGAAAGCCTTAAGATTTTTAATGTGGCATATGAAAGTATTCTTATTATAAAGTGATTTAGCATATATGAGTATTTCAGTGCATGGACTCAATTATATTGAAGAACCAATATGTTACTACATTATTTCTCTGCCATTTTATTTAGTTGAGAACTCTTGAGTTTAATAAGTACTTCTCAGTAATCCCTTTAAAAGTATTTCTATCTGACATAGTCTTGTAGAACTATATAAATACAGTCCAATTAACTTGCATAAAGGTGAATAGATTCTTTGATATTGAATTTTCTTTAGTTAAAAAGACTAGAACCAAGAAGATACAAATGTTCCTTAAGAAAAAAAGCTATGTGAAGTATTAAGTCCATAGGAATATCTCAATAATAAGAAATGTTACAAATATATGGTTTCCAAAACATTTGAAAAATATAGAAAAAAAGTACTATTTATGATTTGCTATTCCATAAATTCTATATGTTCTGGGTATATTATACAGTAGTAAGGAATAATTCAGACTTTTATAGTACTGAAGTCTTGAAATAGGATATTATTTGTATTGCATGGTTCAATTATCATTGCATGGTTCAATATCATTGCATGGTTCTACTTATAGGTTCTAAAATATGTCTTCTCAGTCAAACATTTGTTATGGAAGATAGCTGAGGTATTCCAATTGAAGCATGGCAGGTTGGACATGAAATCTATCCCCTTACCTTTGTGATTCCTGATACTATTTAGGGATCCTATGACACTGTCAAACAGATCATAAACATTTACAGCATGAAAAACAAAGAAAGGGAATTTGGTGAAAAATTAAGGAGTGAGCTAATGAATTATTACATTATTGCTTTTTTTGTATTTTACTTTTAAACTTGAACTGGTTATGGATCATGGGATTATTTTGTCTTTCTATGTGGCAACAAAAGAGACCAGATAGTTTAACTCAAATTGAGTTGGTAATAAATGTAGGTTTCAACATGTAGTATTGCTTTTCTTAGATAAATTTTCTAAACCATTTTACAAGGCTACTATAGTTTATATTCAATATTGTTAAATAATGTCATCCAAACCAATTTTCTTGAATTCTGTAGGTTACAACAATTACGTTTCAAGATTTGCCAGGTTGTAGTCTCTCCACATTAGCAGAGTGTACGAATCTTCAGTTTCTTTCTCTTCAACGCTGTGGATTAACTTCTTTGCACAGCCTGAGTAACTGCAGAAAACTTAAGTACATTAATGTGCAGGTATGTCCTCTGTTGTACTATTATTTATCTTATAAAACATATCAAGTTGATTCATTTTTACATTTCAGAAATCATGATTTTGAAGAAACAGTTACTAAAATAATCTGTAATTTGGGGCTAAAGAGATCAAGGGCCTAAATTTGAGAGAACCAAAGAGAGAAGATAATTAGGTAGTATGACCTGGGATTGACTTATCTCTCTGCAGATAATGTGGTTATTGTTTTTGGTCAGTTTTTGCTGCATAACAAATCATTACATTACTTAGTAGCTTAAAATAACAATCATCTTATTTACTCATGGTTCTGTTGCACGTGAATTGAAGCCAGGCTTGGCTGGCATTTCTTTTGCTTCATGTTATGTTGACTGGATCTCTTCCATAACTGCAGTCAAATGGAAGATAGGACTGGAATGTCTAAATTCCCTTCTCTTTTATCTGGTGCCTTGGCAGTGATGTCTGGGAAGCTGGAATCTCTCATGGCTATCTTGGGCTTCTTTCCAGGGTGGTCGGGTCCCAAGAGTGAGTGTTCTTAAAAGACAAACTCCAATGTACAAGTTATTATCAAGCATCTGCTTGCATCATGTTGGCTAATGTTTTACTGACCAAGTATTGAGTTTGTGTGGAAGGGGATTGGGTGGATGTGTGAATATTGGGTTGTGAGGTTTACTGAAGGCTACCAAAGTAATAGTCTATCACAATCTACCCTTGGCTCCTAATAATTCAAGTCATTCCCATATACAAAATATATTCATGTCCTCAAAACTGCAAAGTCTCATCAACTTTTAGTATCAGGTGGCTTAGGCTTGATGCACAGGATTTTATCTAAATCAGATCCAGGTGGAGATGAGGCTCCTCAGGTGCAATTTCTTGTGTATATCTATTGAGATATAGTCCTCTCAATTCAGAGATCTGCAAAATAAAATGAACAGTTATCTTTCCCCCTACTAGACACCCACATACATACTGAGAGAGGGCTTGGTTAACTGCAATAGTCATTCTCATTAAAAATGGGAGAAACAAGAAATCAAGAATGACAAAATATTCACTCCTGTTCGTTTAGGTTGTTTGAAATACTTTTATATCTTCTTCTGTATTTTCTATATTTTAAAAGAATTTTAATACACAAATTAAAAATCAGTTAATTCTTTATTAGATTAGTTAATATATTCATCCAGATAATATAACAGATTAATAGGGTTATCTTGGAAATTAGAGATTAAAATGCATTTAATAGGCTTATCTTGGAAATTAGAGATTTGGATATTGATCTGGAGATCATATTTCATCCTTCCTCTTTTTGCAAGCTTTAAATATTTTATTAATAAGCCATCGAAATAAAACTAATTAAATTTTTCTTTGCTTTAGGAAAACCATATTGAGACTATCATCTGTGAAAATTTGGAAAATCTCTGTGTTGTTGTTCTTAATAAAAATCAGCTGAGTTCTTTTCATGGTTTGGATGGCTGCACTAATATTGAAAATCTTGAACTTTCACATAATAAAATTACTCGAATTGGTGAGAACAATGGAATTTTAAAATTTTAATATTTATTTGTTATGATTGTATTTTGTTTCATTTACTCCTTTTTAAGAATAGACCACCATTGCTAATTTACAGATTTTATTTATTTTATGCTTATTTAAACTTTTAGCTAGGTTAAAAAAATAAAATTATTTTTAATATTCTTAAAAAGAATATGTTTCACCATTGGTAAATGGGTAGTGTTAGTAGACCCTTAAGTTAATATACAGTATTCATTTCTTTGTTCCTTTTCCTGTAAACAGTGGTGATCTGAGATCCTGGGGCATGTAACACCCCAATATGGTGCAATGACATTTTTATGGATCCTATGCTTTCCACATTTCTCAGCAATCGTCATAACTGTTTCTCGGTAAACCTTTTCATCACTACTGTCCTCCGCTATATACATCCCTATTACTAACCTTTCCTTCTTTAGATAAAGCTGTCACATGAAAGAAATCATCAGGCTGAATCTCACTAAACTACTTGATTCCTCCATTATTATGTCTGTAAATCTATGTATATGTAGCTATTTGCTTTCTTGTATCTTATAATCCATATAATTCAGGAACTTTTGTATTGACAAATTTTTAAGATCTTAGTGGCACTAGTTAAGGTCTTAATGGCCCTAGCTACTTTCAGTATGTTTTATTTACTTTTACTTTGTTTTTTGTACTTGTTCTCTCTCCTTTTCTCTCTCCCTTTCCCTCTTTCTTTCTCTCTTTGTCAGAATTGGTTTTTTTTTTTTTTTTTTTTTTTTTTTTTTTTTCCGTGTCCGGCAACGGATCGCAACCCTCAGTGTTGCCCCCGTACCGGACTGGGGACCGGCAACGGGATTGCAACCCTCAGTGTTGCTCCCGCGCCTCGCTCAGCCAGTGAGCGGGAACCGGTCTGTATGTGGGATCTGAACCCTCGGGCGGGAGCGCCGCCGCGCTTCCCAAGCGGTGCACTATCCAGTGCGCCACTGGGCTGGCCCACTCTCAGAATTGTTTTAACTCGTAAATTTTTATATTTGAGTATTTTAGTCAACTGCCTTATTATTCTTTTTGATAACTCAAATTGTTCTGTCCTATAAGTTCAAGTTGGAGATATTACTATTTGAAATCAGTATAATATTGGATATTTACTTTTAAAATTTTATACTTATATTCTCTTTCTCTTCCACTATAATCCTTGTTTATGGCCACATTAACATAACCATTGCTATATCTTATCCATAAAATAGCTTCAAAACAACAAAGCCAATATTACCACCAACAATGAAACTTACTAAGTTTATTTTAAGATTTCTTCTACTTTCTTTTTGTCCTTGCACTGTCACCCAAAGGGATGTAAAGTAGTGTGTTATAAAATCATTTGAAGTATTTTATCTGTGATTGTGTTATGAATTTGACATGTAATTAGCTTACTTTTCTCATTTGATTGTTTTAGTTTTGATATGTAAAACAGATATATGATTCCAAAGTGAACACTACATTTAAAAAGGCATACTCAGAGATTATGCTTTTATCCCTGTCCTTTTCACTCTATTTTCCCATTTACTTTTATATAGTGTATGGCTGTTTTTATATAATATGTGCATATATAAAATATATGATGGGTATAATACATATATCACAAATTTGTATGTATGTATGTGTGTGTGTGTGTGTGTGTGTGTGTGTGTATATATACACATATATATTTGAAAATATACAGATGCTCCTCAATTTACAGTGTGGATATATCCCGATATACGTATCATAAGTTGAAAATACCTTCAGTTTAAAATGCATTTAATACACCTGTCCTACTGAACAGAATAGCTTAGCCTTGCCTACCTTAAATGTGCTCTGAACACTTATATTTAGACTGCAGTGGGGCAAAATCATCTAACACAAAGCCTATTTTATAATAAAGTGTTGAATATCTCATATAACTTATTGAATACTGTACTAAAATTGTAAAACAGAATGGTTGTATGGATACTTTAAATACAGTTTCTATGAAGTGTATATCACTTTTGCATTATCATAAAGTAGAAAAATTATAAGTCGAACCATTGTTAAGTTGGAAATCATCTGTATGTACATAACGCTAATCCTTTCACAAAATGAAGCATATTTTAAGTACTATGCCGTATCTTGTTTTGTTTTTCTTCACTTAACATATTATGGAGTTCATAACAATCTTTTTCCGTGGCTGCATAATATTTTATTATGTTAATGGACCAGAGTTTATTCCACTGGTGCCTTGTTGATGGATATTAGAAGGTTTCTAATCTTCCATATTGAATATCCGGACTCCTGTGTGACTTCATGCTTGATCAGTGTATCTTTAGGTTAATTTCCTGAAATTTGTCATTGGGCAAAAGTATATCTGAAATTTACAAAGATAATGCCAGACAGCCTTTATATGGGTTGTGCCATTTTTGCATTCCTACCACTAATACATGATAGTAAGTTTCTTCTGCTTATCTTCTGTGTATTATGTGTTATTTTCTATTTCAGTTTAAATATTTAATTCAATTGCTTCTTACCTTTTTTCACTATTGTTAACATACATATTTAAATCTATAAATTCATCTAAACAATGCTCAGTCCATAACTTCTGATAAGTAGGTATTTACATCAGTTCTGCAACTTTAGGTTGTCTTTTCTTTTTTACCTAAGACTTTAAATTTCCATATAGAAACTCCATTTTTTAATTCTTTCTAAAAGTTTTATTGCATTACATAGCAAGATAATTATTTTTGTTTCATTTCTGCTTTTTGGAACTTATTGTGATTTTCTTCTTAGTCTAATATGTGGTCAGTTTTCATGAATGTTTCATGTGCACTTGAAAAAGAGGCAGGTTTTATTTATTTATTTATTTTCTTATTGGGAGATAAAAGGGTTTTTTGTTTGTTTGTTTTTGGTTTTTTGTACATTTACCTTAGTGATCATTTGTTTTAGGTGTTCTCTCTACTTGACCTACCTTGGACTGAGGGAGTCGCACTATTTTAAATTTGTTATTAATATGTCATTAATCAGCCTTTTGTGTATCCTTTGATTTCTGTTTTTTGAGTATTGCTGCCATGATGTTTCATAGATTACTGTATTATTTTAATTTTGAATTTTAGCTCTGAACGTTATAAATTCTCTTGTCTATTTAATGACTTTGTAAACTAAATACTACCTTGTCTGGTACAATTTCTTTTTGTTTGTGTTTGTATATTTTGCCATCTTTTTAAATTTTAGCCTTTTTGCATTACTTTGTTTTAGGTGTTTACTTTTATACACCATAGATTTGGGTTGTATTTTTTGATCCAAGCTTAAAAGTTTTTCTCTCATATAGGCCATGGCCATTTGCATTAATTATTTCAACTATACATGTATAAATTTATGTATAGTTGAGTTATATACATGTATATAATATATATATTATATATACATATATGCACATATATATTATACACACACGCACACACACACACACATATTTGTCTCAATTCCATCATCCCACTCAGGATGATGTTCTCTCTTTTTGCAGGGAAGCCTTGTTGATGATACACCACCGCTTTCCACCACTGGGGTACCTTGAGTTCTTATCTGTTCAGTTTCCCTAGGATTTCCTTTGCACAATCCGACTGGATTATGTTGTTCCTGGATACTTATTATTCCACTTAGAAAAAAAAAATCAGATTGTAATTTCTTTATTTCCCATTCATACTGGAAGTATCTAAAAATAGACGCTCTAAGATATATTACATATTGAGATACAGATCATTTTCTGGCCAAATGAAATAAAGAAATAAACTATTAGATTAGGGTTATATACTTTTCATACAAATTTTGTAATAACTTAAAGAATACTGTTTACATTTTTATATTATTCTTTATTATTGGGTCTGTTTTGGAAGCAAGTTTTTGACTATAGAATATTTTAACATTGTCTGGAGTTATTCTTACATATTTTAAATGAGCAAAGTAATTGCTTTAATTTAAGCTTATTAGATTCACTTTAGGTTGATGATTTTAAGGATGGATTTATTTTAGCCAGACAAAAGATTTTATTACACTTTTTAATAATTTAGAAAATGTTTTATGTTTTTTTTTCTTCTAGTTATCTTTTATTGCTCAGTTTAATTTGGGTAGATTGCAGTTTAAGGTTTGCTATGACATCATTATTGTATTTCATGATTTCTTTTGCCTGAAATTTGCCATAAATAAATTTAAGGCAAAATTGGTAATACTTTTGCTTTCTACATGTAATGTGGGGAAACAATTCTTGAATGGATATTACCACATTGATTGTTAAATTTATAAAATTGGTTCATAGGAAATTCTTATTTTGAGTTAGTATTTTTGATTTAGCTTTTCTTAAGAAAAACCAAAGCAAATGAAAAATAGGTGATTTATAATTTATAATCTAGTTTTCTTTGTTTCTCCCTTTTTTATATTGAATTTTATTGACTTTCTAACAGAAACACTCTAAAACTAAACTAATTTTGAAAAAATCCAGGTTATATGACAAAAATTGTTCTATGAATTTTATTTGCAGAAAGAATACAACTTAATACACTAATACAGGACTTTTTTTTTTTTTTATCACCAGGCATTTGTTTTGAGTGCTTTTTACATATTAACTCATTTGCTTTTCACATCAGTGTTATGAGTTAGGTGCTATTAAATCCTTTTTATCACCAGGCATTTGTTTTGAGTGCTTTTCACATATTAACTCATTTGCTTTTCACATCAGTGTTATGAGTTAGGTGCTATTAAATCCTTTTTTCCCCCTCCCACCATGTAAGAGAACTGAGGCACAGAGAAGTTAATTAAGTTGCCTAAAATCACAGAGCTTGTAAATGATAGAGACAGAATTTGAAATTCGGCAGTCTAATTTTTAATTGTGTTATTCTTCTGCCTCTTTAATAAATATACATTTTATAGTAAAAATTATTACTGTTTTTATGCTAAATTATAGCACTTTATGCTGAACAAATTAATGATTTTGGTGTTTATTTACTAACAAAT